ACCCTCCCCCTAGTCACCCCCCACCCCCCACCCCACACATCTGCAGTATACCTTTAGGGAGCATTTTCTTTTTTTTTGTTTTATTATGAAATTTATTGTCAAATTCGTTTCCATACAACACCCAGTGCTCATCCCAATAGGTGCCCTCCTCAATACCCATCACCCACCCACCCCCCCCTCCCATCCCCCATAAAAACTCAGTTTGTTCTCAGTTTTTAGGAGTCTCTTATGTTTTGGCTCCCTCCATCTCTAATCATTTTTTTTCCTTCCCCTCCCCCATGGTCTTCTGTTAGGTTTCTCAGGATCCACACAGGAGTGAAAACATATGGAATCTGTCCTTCTCTGTATGACTTATTTCATTTAGCATCACACTCTCCAGTTCCATCCACGTTGCTACAAAAGGCCAGATTTCATTCTTCTCATTGCCAAGTAGTATTCCATTGTGTATATAAATCACAACTTCTTTATCCATTCGTCAGTTGATGGACATTTAGGCTCTTTCCATAATTCGGCTATTGTTGAGAGGGCTGCTATACACATTGGGGTACAAGTGCCCCTATGCATCAACACTCTTGTATCCCTTGGGTAAATTCTTAGCAGTGCTACTGCTGGGTCATAGCGTAGGTCTATTTTTCATTTTTTGAGGAACCTCCACACTGTTTTCCAGAGCGGCTGCACCAGTTTGCATTCCCACCAACAGTACAAGAGGGTTCCCATTTCTCCACATCCTCTCCAGCATCCATAGTCTCCTGATTCGTTCATTTTGGCCACTCTGACTGGCGTGAGGTGATATCTGAGTGGGTTTTGATTTGTATTTCCCTGATGAGGAGCGACGTTGAGCATCTTTTCATGTGCCTGTTGGCCATCCAGATGTCTTCTTTAGAGAAGTGTCTATTCATGTTTTCTGCCCATTTCTTCACTGGGTTATTTGTTTTTCGGGTGTGGAGTTTGAAAGAATATCCAATGGAAAAAAGACAGTCGCTTTAACAAATGGTGCTGGGAGAACTGGACAGCAACATGCAGAAGGATGAAACTAGACCACTTTCTTTCACCATTCACAAAAACAAACTCAAAATGGATAAAGAACCTGGATGTGAGACAGGAAACCATCAAAACCCTAGAGGAGAAAGCAGGGAAAAACCTCTCTGACCTCAGCTGCAGCAATTTCTTACTTGACACATCCCCAAAGTCAAGGGAATTAAAAGCAAAAATGAACTATTGGGACCTCATGAAGATAAAAAGCTTCTGCACAGCAAAGGAAACAATCAACAAAACTAAAAGGCAGCCAACGGAATGGGAAAAGAAATTTTCAAATGACATATAGGACAAAGGGCTAGTATCCAAAATCTATAAAGAGGGAGCATTTTCTTCAAGCAAGGACATCCTTTTATATATTCTCAGTGTAACTATCTGAGTCAGGAAATTAATGTTGATACCTTACTGCCACCTAATCCTCAGACCCAATGCAAGTTTCACCTGTTGTCACAGTAATGTCTAATACAAGGGATTCTGATTTACTGTCCATCTAGATTTCCCAGTTGTACCACATTGGCACTGGTGTGTGTAGGTGTCTCTAAATATTTTTTCAGAATCATTTCAGAATCAGTGGCAAGCAGGCTGCTCATTAACTGTTAATCCTTCAGTGTGCATTTCCTAAAAACAAAGATACCTTCTTCCCTGACCACAGTAAATCCATGAAGATGGGGAAATTGACAGTGATCCAGTATTACCACCTGGTCAACAGACCTCTTTCAAATTTCACTAAGTGTCCCAATAATGCCCCTTATGCATTCAGGATCCGGTCCAGGATCACCTGTTGGATTTAGCTGTCACAATTTCCTTGATCTCAGGGATTGCTGTTCAGTGCTGAAAGCTGTTGGCTCATGTTTTGTCCATTTTGTAGTGTTCGCAGTAGGAGAGCTAATCTTATGCCAATTACTCCATCATAGAAAGAAGCAAAAGTCTACTCCAGAATTTTAGAAGCTAGGTTACTAAGTGTCATAATTTTTATTTTCTTGGTGGATTATATGCTTTATAAAATATTGGCCTTTTCGTATTTAGATGTTGGGGTCTTAAATTTTATCGTCATATTAATATTGCCACATCTGCTTTCTTCTTGTTAACATTTACCGGTGTATATTTCTGTTATATATATTTTGTGTGTGTGGATTGTGTTGTTTTATGTGTGTATTTTGTCAACAGCATATAGTTATATTCCATTTATCTTTGGATAGGAGATTTACCCTCTTTGTACTCATTTTTTTTTTTTTTACTGATAGGATTGTACATATTCTTGTGTTAAGGTTCATATTTTCTGTTTAGCTGGTTTCTTTTTTCTGTTTGGTGACTTTTGTTGGATTGATTTTTAGCTGTTGGTGTTGACCTTTTTTTTTTTTCCTTAAATGAGGTAGACGTTCTGTATCCTATATGTCTTCTTTTAGTGGTTACCTTTAATTCTTTTGCTATGGGAAATGGATTTTTAAAAATAAGACACGTTTTTAGAACAGTTTCAGATTTACAATGCAAAGCTTGTAAAGACACTTCTCATATGCTTCACATTCGGTTTCCCCTATTTTTAACATTTTACATCAGTGTGGTGTATTTGTCACAATTAATGAACCAATATTGATATATTATTATTAACTTAAGTCCATACTCTATTCAGATTTCCTTTGTTTTAACCTGAAGTCCCTAGTTTTGTTCCAGGATCCAATCCAGGGTACCAGTGACCTTCCATCATTATATCTCCTTAGGCTCTTCAGGCTGTGCTGGGTTCTCAGATTTTGTTTTGTTTTTGATGACCTTGGTTTTGAGTACTGGTCACATATTTTGTAGGATACCCATCAATTGGAATTTGTCTCATGTTTTTCTCATGATTATGCTCGGGTTATAGGTATTTGAGAGGAAGACCACACATGTATGGTGCTTGTCTCATCCCACGATATCAAGGGTATATACTATCAGCATGACCCATCACTGTTGATGTTAACCTTGATCTGATGTAGTACTTCTTAGATTTCTCCACTGTAGAGTTACTCTCTCCTCCTACCTACCTTCTCATATTGTAATCCTTGGAAGGAAGTCAACACTTATGGAGTGGAGAGTTATGCTTCATCTCCTTGAGCTAGAAATACCTACATAAATTAATTTGAATTCTTCTGTTTTATCCCTTTTATGTATTTGTTTATGTGTTTATATCAACATGGACAAATGGATATTTTATACTTTGTATTATAATCTAATACTACTTGATTGATTAAATTGTTCCAGCTTTAGCTGTTGGGAGCTGTTTCAGCTGGTCCTGTGCCTCATTGACATATATCCATCAATATCAATATTTTAAAAAATACTTCCTGGAACTATAAGATGCTTCAGACTCCTATATTTCTTGTTCCAATCCTAGAACCTGCCATTTCTCCAAGGAGATCTGTTTTTCTTTAACTGGAGAATGGTATTTAGAAACCACGATCTGGGTGCTAGGTGTGCTTATTGCTACTGGGGTGTTACTGCTTCTAGGCCCTCTCAGGTCACAGAGCAGAGGTGTATGTCCGCATACTAGCCCATGTTAATATACACACGTGTCTATAAGTATTTCTATATGTAACCATCTGTATGTATGTTAAGCTACACATGATTCATACTGAGGTCTCCAACTCTAATCCATTATCACATAGGTCATTTTAGCCTTCTCTTATCTGTAACCTCTATCTGAAACAGTGAGAAGCCTGGCTTCTACAGTTCACCACCCATTTACCGATGTGTTCAGTTCAGTATACATGCATGGTAGTTTGAGAATTGATAATGTATATACCCCTGTAGGAAACTACATGCCCATCAGAGGGAATGATAACTGTCAAATTCAATAGCAGGCATAATTGGGCAGATGGGTCCACCTCTGAGAACAGATTCTCTCATTAAAAGCTTTTCCATGGCACAAAAACAGACACATAGACCAATGGAATAGAATAGAAACCCCAGAACTAGACCCACAAACGTATGGCCAACTCATCTTTGACAAAGCAGGAAAGAACATCCAATGGAAAAAAGACAGTCTCTTTAACAAATGGTGCTGGGAGAACTGGACAGCAACATGCAGAAGGTTGAAACTAGACCACTTTCTCACACCATTCACAAAAATAAACTCAAAATGGA